CGTACCGTCTAACGGCAATAAGCTGTTGTCCGCAAACATGAGATAGAGATATTTCAACGTTTCACTCTGAGGGTCGGTCCGCATTTAGTGCCGTGTCCAACGCTTAGGGCAGAAAACGACGCTCACCATTAAGAACGTCTCCATTTTGTCTTCGAGCCGGGAAGGCACCTCGTCGACGTTAATGATCGCAGCGTACCCGCCTGTCTCGACCTTGCAGTGCTTCTCGATAGCAGAGAATATGTTCCAGCCCCAGTCACGGTAACGTTTGTCACCGGTGAGGCGCCACGCAATGAAGAGCGACTCGACCGTTTCAGGTCGGAGAATGTAGCGCGCATCATATGGAGGGAATTCACCGGGCCTGTAGGTATCGCTATCAGAATGCTTTCCTTGAAACCAATGAGAAGACATACCGGGCACCCTTGATATACCAGTCGGCGGGGCCACCAATCATGTTGTCGCTGGCTATTCTGAAGTACACAATTTCCGGCGAAAGTCCGCTATCCTCGTCGATAGTCACTTAGCGAGGTATCTCCGTGTTAACAAGAGAATTACGCACGTAGCGGTGTCATGGGTATCCATGCACGTCTTGATCAGCTCAACACCGGTTTTCCAGTCCCGCATACCTTGCGCGGATAACTCATCCGCCTTTGGAGGGATAGATACAGGATGAACGATTGCGCCCGTCGTGGTGGCTCCGAGCATAAGAGAGCCACCGAGGAAGCAGACAAGATGGTCCTGCTTGGGAGTCAAGCGCCATGACCTGTGATGGATGTCAATGTAAATCGACACAAGCCAATTTTCTCGAGGAAGCAACGCACACTTCGCCTTTTTCATTCCTTTCGGGGATGAGTTCTGCTGTGTAAATGGAGTTTGTAGCGATACTTTTTTGGATGAGGTGATTGTGGATGGCCGTCATCGTGTCATCGTACATCTTGAGGTTAATCGTCAACAAAATTCAAAGGCTACCATGGCTGAGCTTACCTCTCGGTAGACTTCTTCGGTACGATTCTGCAAGGACATGTCAATAATTCAAAGCATGTTGTAAGAGCCGGACAATAATCACCGTCTGCAAATATTGTTTCCTATGTCCGACCGGTAAGTTGACATGCCCACAATGTTAGTCTGCCTGCTTACAAGAGATATTCATAGTAGGAGTCTCCGCGAGACCCTAACCGAATGGCGGATGTCACGAAACGCCCGTCCTGAGCACTTGACGTTTCCGTAAGTACGAGTATCAATATGATTTCAGAAAACCAACCTCATGAATATCGACGCTAAACCGTGGGGCATGCGCGCCGCTTTAATCACGGCCATCACCTAGCGCAGTGTTGTCAGCGGTCACTTTCCAACTGCCCCGACAAGTAAGATAAATCCAACCACATACATGCTCCGATTTATCCCAGTAAATATCGTTGTCAGTGAGATAGCTGAGATATCTGAATTCGAGCTGCAGAGTAGCGACTTCAGCTGTGCTGACCAGACCTGGCCAATCAGGGTCGGGAATCCCGATGCGTCTTGCAAGGTTGATATTAGACAAGGGCAAGCCAGCCGGGGTGTTGAAGGCGGGAAGTATACGGTCGGCGAGCTCTGTCGCCTTCTCCAAGTACAGAGGGTCTTGGCCTGAAAGGTGGTAAGCTGACAGCAGCCCACCGAGGACGCGGATAGTAGTCTACCAATATGAGAGATTTAGGTCAATATATGCACAATTCAGTATCCGACGCGAGAAGTGCGTGCGTACCTCGAAAGTGCTGAACTTGTCGTCCCTCTCGAACGTCATGTTGGTGGCGACCCACGCTCTTGCCCGTTGATATTCCTCGTCTAGGCCCATGAGGAGCATGGTGTCAATGGAGTCAACGACCGTGTAACCGATACCGCCAGCGGCGGTCAAATTAGTTCCCTCGTGGCTTATGGGATGGTACTCATCCGCGCCCATAGCGTCCCTCTCTGGTCGCGTCAGCGCAAGCGGGTCGCAATATGGCACGGTACACACCGTATGCAAGCCATGCATGCTATGCCATAAAAAAACTATCAGGTGTGCTAGCCAACGAAAGGCTGTCCGCGCACCTTGAAGGCCTCGACAACCGCGTCGCGCTTCTCCACGTCGGCCGAGAAATCAATAACACTATCCACGTTCGTTCCAGGTAGTACCGCGACGTCAGAGAATCCGAGCCATGCATTTAGGATCTGCGTCGGATACTGCGGAAACTGTTGCATGGCGTTTATTATGCATTGTCGCTGAACGGGTCGGACAAAAGTACCTGGTATGTTAACAGTCCAAGGATCGCGAAAGCGACCACTGAAAGTATAGTTGCATAATTTGTCGAGCGTCCGGCGTGAAGGTCCTGTAGAAGCGCGTCAACACCGTGCACATATAGTACACAGAACTTGACCACGCACACCGTCTGTCTTGGAACCTTGCGATTTTTGCGACGACAGGTCTTTCTTCCGTTGGCGAAGGCCAGGTTCTGCCATGGCGTCCAGCGACCAGAAATATTATTGATAGATACGAGTCGAGCAGAGACGGGCAGACACAACGGTGGCAGCTGGCCGTTAGCAATAAAGATGCGGACGTGGCGCAGTGCGCGTTCTTGCGCGTTCTGTACCTCTCCATTCACGTGGAAAACTCGGAAACCACAGTCTGAAGCTCGTATGTGCACAAGTTGGTGCAAGTGGTCTACCGATGCAAGTTCCGCGGATTTGCAGTTAGAATCAAAGAAAGCGGGGATAAAGGGACAACGAATGACGATCACTCGTGCTTACCCCCATTCCGCATAACTAGGAGGACCAGTCTCGAGCTCACGATTCGGGGATGTCCCACGTAGGGCCCACGGCAATGTTAATCGAGACCGGGTGCATGACAATGAAACAGTAAAATATGCGCTGGGGATACATGCTTTGACGACGCTCAAGCCCATTTCTTCACGTCCTCCTCACTTGGTCCGACCGGATCTGCCGAGGCAGCCAGATTGCATTGGTGGAATGCACGCACTTGCTCCTTCGTAAACGCGCCCACCACGGTATGCAGTAGGCCGCGATTGTGGAACAGCACGAGGTCCTTCTCCCGCCAATCGTGAGGGTAGATCAACTGTAGCGGTTCCGCACAATGAGTACGCGTTCCATGAAGCAGTGTGGCCCAACTTAACGCACCTTTGGGTCGATAGCGGGCCTCTGCATCTTGTACAACAGGGCTCTGACCTCTTTGAGATCTGTGATGTGCGCGCCGTCTGGGAACAGCGCCCCTTCCCGTGTGGCACCCGCTGGAAGCGGGTCGACGAGGAGTTCCGCAGCGCCGCAGGGGTGAACCTGGAAGTGCAACTCCCCCGTCACCGGATTTTTCCATAGCTGCAAATTGTAATCAATATGAAAGAACGTTGCGTAGAATGCGGGACAGACTCACGATGGGGAACGTCTTCCTGCGCGACTCCTCCCACGGCGGGAGTTCGTCGAAGGGAAGCTCTAGCCCCTCCGATTCGATTCCCAGCCCAGTCGAGAGAGCGTGCGCAGGCGCCATCCAGACGTACGGGTGGGGCGCGTACTTGACTTTGGAGCGCACGGCGAAGCTCTTGAGTTCGGCGGGTAGGATATCGAACATGGTCTTTCCGGACACAAATGCAGTAGTCCCGAGCGGCACGGTGAGTTCGTCACCGGTGCCGTCGTCGTATCTACAGGTCTGCGGCGGTCCGTGAGGGACCTCGATACCGTACAGCGTCGTGACTTTGGGCGGCGAAAGGTCGTACAGTGCGGCGTCAATGTGCCAGCGGTAGAAGCGGGTAATGCCCTTAGCCTCTTCTTCTGGCGAGACGCGTGTCTTGTGGAAAGTGGTGTGGCTTGGGTGCTTGAGCATAGCCTCGGCGAGGCCTTCGTGGTTGTAGACCGTCCCATTTCCGATTAATTGCACCTGCGGCACACGCGGGATGGTCTTGAGATCGGGGTGAAGGATCGATTTCTTGGTGCCCTCGGTCTTGTTATTTCCGTGGCCGTAGCTCTCTGAGGCAGGGTCGAAGGCCTGTGCCGTTGTGAGTATGCAGTAATGGGAGCAAGACGAGCTGTGGCGTACCTTGGTGAGGGCATACTGCTGCTCCGGAGTTAGTTCAACGTCACGAAAGAGCAATGCGTCGTGCTGAAGGCGCGCAGTGCATAAGCATACCGTGCATACCTAACAATCAATCGACGCACCTTGTACAAAGCATCCTGCACCTGCTCAAACTCTTCTGGCGAAAGCGCTCCAGGATTGACACCCCTAACCTCGCGTCCGAAGTCGGCGAATTTCGAGGGATCTGCTGAAGGCGGGAGAGGCAACGGGACGAGTTCGATGGCCATGATGTTGTGGTTTGGTGCAAGTTCTGTCGAGCGTCGTCCTGCAGTGTTTGGAGTAGCATCATGGTCCGGCCGATCTAGTATCTGTGCTGTCGTGCGGCGATTGCACGTCCATCGGCGGGTCTGGATTGTGGCAGACCCGAGCCAGTCCAAGTATCACCGCCAACGATCGCGGTGCAACTTGGCCATGTCTAAGCGCTGGAGCAGCAAACCGACCATATTTCGTAGCGCGCTTTTATTGTCACGGACTGCAATATTGGCGTGTTGGCCGGCGGCGGCGGCGCAGCCGCCGGCCCGCCGCAGCGCTCGCGTGGGATCCCAATCGGGCGATGTGGCGGTATTTCGACTAACGCTGTGCGCTTGGTCTCCCCTTCGTCTCTCATTGATTTCATTCTTAATACCCCCAGTAGTTTGAATGATTCTGGTACGGGAATAAGCGGCGGCGCCAATGGCGCCGCTGACCACATATTTTACTGGGAAAACTCAGAATTGAAAAGGCCTATGGTATCATCTTAACGTGAAGAAGGGCTGCATCGCCTGCCCCCTCGTAGGTCTTATGCTCGCCAGTCGTACTCCAGATACAAGGTAAGGATACGGCATGGCTATGCGGTGCCGAAGACCCCGCTGTGTGCATGTCTCTCGACAGACGAAAAGGGACAAAGAAAAAGAATGTTGCAAAAGATTGAACCCGACCCGGATCGAACGGATGACCTTGTGGATGCTCCAAGCAGATGCTGCTGGAATCACATGCTCTACCACTGAGCCACGGGTCCACTTGAATGCTCTTGAGGAGTGCACATCACAATCTACAGCGAGAATGGTAGAGAAACAGAGAAGACAAGTGGAAACAAGCAGTGAAACCCGAGGAAAGTGATGAATAGAAATCAAAACATAAAATCCTCAAGTATCTGAATCAAAGTACACCCTACACAATGTCTATCAATCCTAGGAGCGAAGCGGAGTGATTGTAGTTTTCAATTCGACAAAGTTGTTCGCCGAGGCTCGAGCAGTGCCAGCCAACTTTTGCGCATGCCCGAGCTACCATAACGGGCCATGCCACGCGACTTTGCAAGATTCACATCCTTCTGCGGACGGGCTCTTTCAACTTGAAGGACTTCAGGCTCCAAGATCAATAAGCATCAAGTCTGCACTTGCTAAAGTGGCGGGAAGAGTGCAGAGCTCGTCGGGCGTCGCAGTGAGTTTTATGTCGCTATGCCATTCTTTTTGTCTGATTTTCTTCTTCTTTTGCGTCACTGCCCTCCAGACTCGCAGAATTTCCCGTCTCCCCAGCGCATTCTATGCCAGAACAGACGAGATCGCCATCGACGATAGCTGGCCGTGCAACGACGCCGAGCGACGATCCTTTTGGCGGTCCTACCCCAGGTAATTGGCGACACCGCTACTGTGCGTATGTCAAAGAGCGCACGGACCCCACGTCCGCATCGAGCGAAGGGTATTCATTTGGGCGCGACCTGCTTGCTCGTCGCCGTCGCTCTTCTCTTCCCCCCACCATCCTGGCCCTTTGCGCACTTTTACGATGGTTTTAACAAATTACTTCCCCACCCTTCCAAAGCCGGTACGTCTGCCGAAGCGCGGATCGAAAGACGCGCCGTGGTCTCTTGAAGACGAGGACAAGGCGGCGGCAGCTGACGCGTCGGTAAAGGTACGCAGACGCGAATTACGCGTGGATTTACAATAGTTGACCCGTACTCCATATCAAGAAGCGTACGGAAAAGAGGTCCGCCGTGAATGAGGAAAACGGCATACGTGGGTCGCGCGAAGTACGTCGACGCGCTGCGCGCATGTGCAACGCAGCTCACATTCGCACTATTACCCAGGCAGAGAGCAAGAAGCAGCAAGCAAGCAAGAAGCGCAAGGTCGAGACGTCCGACGATAGCGACGTAGAGGTGTCGTCGATTTATGTGCGTATAAAGCTGGCTCTATCGTCTTACTGTCGGCTGATGCATCTCACAGACCTCTACCAGTGCTCTTACGGAGAACCAGCCCCCATCCCTGCTAGCCACTCGCAAGCGCAAGGGCCTATCAGTAAGTAGATATGCACTCACACTGCTTTCTATGCTGACGAGTCCACAGCGCTTCACGGCTGCACAGAAAGATGTGTCCAGGGCAAGGGTGAACGAACAGCGCTCTGTGCGATACATGGACGATCCCGCCGTGCGCGTGCGCGAGCAGCGAGCTCTGGACAAGGCCTCCGAGGCAGCCATTGCTGTGAAATAATTGTAAAGGATCAGGGAATATGCCATTGGACTTGATGCAAAGGATCCCAAGTGACCAAATATTTGCAATACCGATCCGATCTGCCCGCGCGGCTTGCGGTCGGACCTTGAAATTCTTGAAACCAAACCCTGGCGCGTTTTCTGGCTTCCAGAAACAGCTATACAGCCCCTAAGCATGCCTGGACTTTATCCGCGCTTATTCGGGCATGCCTCGGGCATCCACTCTCAGAAGCGTTAGCCCCTAATTGAACTTCAATATTTTGCGCGCCCTCGGGTGTATACCCCGCCCTTGTATCGACTTCAAATTTTCGAGCTTGTTTTCTATACCTTCCTTTTGCTTAATATCTCTTTGTCCTCAGCTCAACTAACCTGGCAGTAGAGTAAAAATACTATTTGTATCTACTACATGAGACAAATATACAAAACATCACTATATACAGAATAGTAGCGCGAGTGCGCTTGCGAGTGTGGAATGCGTGTAGGGCGGCGCTGACAAGGAGCGCAGATGGCGGGGTACCAGAGCGGTAGCAACGGGAACGCGGCGCGAGCAGCGGGGACGACGCTCGGCGGAACGCATCATTGAGTCCGCAGCGGTAGCGGGAGACGGGCGGCGGCGTGAGCACGGACTGCGCTGACGCGCTCATCTGCTCGGTCGACCGAACTCGGCGTGAAGCTCGACGTGCGGGGGCGACAGGTCCGCGCTGATGCGGATGCGCCTGGCTCTACGTCACCACGGGTGCGCGGGCACCTCGCCAACGCGAGCCGACGCCGGTGGTGTGCGCAGAGGCGGGTGCACTTGTTCAGCGTCAGCGCGGCACCTATGTCGATGTGCGGGCGCGCGTGCTTCGACAGCACGCGGGGGTGGCGGGCTCGCGTTAACGAGCCGGGGGGATGATTGTCGAGGTTTCGGCATAGAGGGCGGGCGGTCGCCGCCGTGCGGGTCCGTGAGCTCGCTAGCGCTCTCCGGGTACAGATGCGCCCATCCGCGCGGTGTCGTAACGCTTGTCGACGGCAGCATTCGCGTACGGGCGGGCGAGCCCTTGCCTGATACGCTGTTTTGCTGTCGCCGACGCAACGGCGCAGTGCTGTGGGAGTGGCTGTGTTAACAGGAAGGCGGGGGCGTGGGCTGGGAAACGAGAGGGCGGGGCGTGGGCGTGGGAAACGGGAGGGCGGGGCGTGGGCGTGGGAACGGGAGGGCGGGGGCGGTGGGCGTGGGAAACGGAGGAGGGCGGTGGGCGAGT